TGGGCCTAAAGTTTTCTGTTGCTCTCCTTGATAGGCTAGATCGTATTGCCTTATGCAAGTAAGTGCTTCATGTCCAAGCTTGCTGCAGACTTGGCATATGATAGATGAAGAGTTTCCTCTACCTCGTCCACCATTGTTTCCTCTGCTATTGGTGGGATGATTTTGATAACCCCCTAGGTTGCGACCACCATGACCCCTACCATTGGATGGAGGGAAGCCACCACGATTTGTGTTTTTGCGGTTCCAATTATTTATTTCCCCTGTACAGCCAGATTTGCTAAAGGAGGATTATCATAAATAGGTTGGTTGTGTTGTTCCAACCAGGCCTCATGATTTTTTAACAGTCCCATTACATCATTAATAGTGAGATTATCAAAATCATGTCTATTAGTAATCACAGTAACTATAGATTCATACTCAAATCCAAGTCCATAAATAATATAAAGAATAAGATCATCCTTGCCTATGGGTTTAGAGATTGCAGCCAAATTGTCAACCATTACCTTGACTTTCTTTACATATTTTGTTATGAATTGAGAGCCCTTCTTGATGTTCTGCAGTTGGCGTTTCAGGTGGAGTACTCTCGACCTAGATATAGTGGAATAAGTTGCAGACAAGGCTTACCATACCTCGGCTGAAGTGGCTAGGCCAATTATTTCTGTTACCACTAATAGCTATAAATATAACCCTAGCAAGTGCACTAGTTATTAAATAGTATAAAAATATCGTTCCCACGGGGATTTAACAAAATAAGTATTAGAACTACAGCCTTCCCTAATTATTTGGACAATCGAATTTCAGATTTAAGAGTAAGAACTATTGAAAATAGAAAATAGAGAAAGAAAATAAAAACAAGGGCAATCAATAATCGAATATGCAGTGATTGAGTGAAATTGCTAGGACCATTGGTCCACCTAACCATTCTAATGAATATTAATGGATGCGATTAACCAAGATCATTTGTCATTCCCATAAGCTGAAGTTTTTCCCAATTTTATTTAATATTCTTTCCCAAGATATATTAAACCTATTTCTATCAAGTAACCCATCGATCCCTCGACTAGAGTTCTCAATGATAAAAATGCATTAAGTGCAAGAAAAACTCATATATTCAGATGAATCATGTGTATATATCCCTATATACCATTCAATTCACACCATGAATTATGTAGTCGAATATATAAATTCCTCTCCCAATTCATTCATATAAACCTAATCAATTAAGAGATGGCCACTCCTAATCGCATTAAGCAAATAACTCATAGACTATATGGAAATCACGATCTTGGATAAATCATAATGATAAAAATATA